ACAAGGGCCATTTTACAGGAATGAGATATTTCCTTGTGGTTTTGATTTCTATTTTCCAGATGATTAGTGATGTTGAACACCTTTTCAGGTACTGTTGGCCATTGTATGCCTTTTTGGGGACAATGTCTATTTAGATCCTCTATCCATTTTTAAATCATAAAAATATATATATAAGATTAAGAAATAGATATATTTTGCTATTGAGTTGTATAACTTCTTTATATATTTTGGCTATTAACCCTTTATCAGATATGATTTGCAAGTACTTTCTCCTATTCAGTAGGTGTTTTTTTCACTTTCTTGATGATTTTCTTTGCTGTACAGAAGCTTTTTAATTTGTTGTAGTCCCCCCCGCTCTTTTTTTTTTTTTGCTTTTCTTTGCTTTTGGTGTCATATCCAAAAGATCATCACCAAGACAGATGTCAAGGAGCTTTTGGCCTATGTTTTCTTCTAGGAGTTTTATGGTTTCAGGTCTTATGTTCAAACCTGTGATCCACTTTTGGGTTGATTTTTTTTTTTTAATTTATTTTTAGAGAGAGGGGAAAGGAAGGATAGAGAGGGAGAGAAACATTGATTGGTTGCCTCTTGCACGCCCCTCAAATGGGGACCTGGCTATGAGTCCCTGTTCAGGCACCAGGTAGGGGAAGTCTGTGTTCGCGCACCAGATGGTTTAGGGTCAGGGTCCAGGAATAATATAAATTTCCTTCCCAGTGTGAGCTGGTTATCTGGTGTGAGAATAACAGAGCTTGAGGTAGAAACAAAGCATGCTTCAAGGAGTATAGTTTACTTCTAGGCCTGATTTCCGCAGGGGGCCCTTGGAGCTATTATTGATTCCTGCCTATCAATCACATTTTCAGTTTTCTGGCCAAGACCAGCAGAGCCTCTCCAAGGCCCATGCTTGTACAGGACTATAGTCCCTGATACCACTCAAAGTGGCCCCCAACACCTGGCCTGCAACCCAGGCCTGTGCCCTGACCAGGAACTGCACCTGTGACCCTCCAGTTTTCAGGCCAGCACTCAACCCACCAAGTCACACCAGCTAGGGCAATTTGGGGTTGATTTTTATGTATGCTATAAGATAGAGGGCCAGTTTCATTCTTCTGCATGTGGCTGTCCAGTTTTCCCACCACCATTTATTAAAAGAAACTGTCCTTTCCCCATTGCATGCTCTTGACTCCTTTATCACAAACTAATTGACCATCTATGCATAGGTTTATTTCTTTTTAAGTAGTTTTTTAAAAAGGTTTTATTCATTGATTTTAAAGGGAGAGGAAGGAGAGACAGAGGGGGGGATTTGTTCCACTTATTTATGCATTCATTGGTTGCTTCTTGTATGTCCCCAGACCAGGGATTGAACCCACATACTTGGCATTGCAGGTTGATGCTCTAACCAGCTGTTGTTCATGCTGCATGGCTGTGACTGGTAGCTCCTGCTCTTCTTTGTTCCTAGCCCTCTAGACATCTAAGCTTTGCTAGTCTCAGGGTAGGGTAAAACTGAAGTGGATTCTTGATGCAGTTCTCCAAAAGGGGAAGTTGGTTGCTCACCCTGCTTTCCTTTTACTGCTGTGGAGAACACTTTTGGGCTGGGGAATTCCCTCTTGGGGGATGGGATGATGCAAGTAAAATGAAACTTTGTCCTACACTTTTTGTGTGGTTATTCTCAGGTTTTTGGTTCCACTGTGTTGTTTGAAGCTTCTTAAGTGGACTCCTGAACAATCTTAGGAGTGGGATTGAAAAATCCCATGAATTTTCATTCATGGATAGGTGTCTAATTGTTGTTCTTTGTGTGAGGCTGAAGCTGGAGTCTATTTTGCCTGCTTGATGATGTCACTCTCTTGTTCAGATCTTAAAAAATTTCACTCTAATCCTGTAACCTTGCTATAATCACTTGTTAGTTCCAGGAGTTTTGCCAATTTTTTTTTCTTTTTCATTTTCTACATAGACCATTTTGACAACTGCATACAAAGGCAGCTTTATTTCTTCTTTCCCAATATATATACCTTTTATCTCCTTTTCTTATTACGTAGGATTTCCAGTGTAATGTTGAAAAGCAGTGATGAGAAGGGACGTTCTTGCCTTGTATCTGATCTTAGTACCTGGAAAGCTTTGAGATTCTCACCATTAAGTATGATGTTAACTTTAGATTTCTTTGTGGGTATTCTTTGTCAAGCTGAGGAGGTTCCCCTCTATTCTTAGTTTGCTGAGAGTTTTTATCACAAATGGTATCGGATTTTGTTAAATGCTTTTTCTACATCTATTGATATTATCATGTGATTTTTGTTCTTAAGCCTGTTGATGTTATGGACTGTGTTAACAGATTTTCGAATGTTAACCAGCCTCACATACCTGGGAGAAATGCTATTTGGTTGTAGTATATAATTGTTTTTATGCATTTATGGATTTATTTTGCTATATTTTGTTGAGGATTTTTGCATCTGTGTTCATGAGCAATATTGGTCTGTACTTTTACTTGTAAAAGCATTGTCTGGTTTTGGAAATGGGATAATGCTGGCCTCATAGAATTCACTAGTAAACCCATTTGGGCTGAATGCTTTACTGTTTGGAAGTTTATTAACTATTGACTCAAATTTCTTTAATAGATATAGGTCTATTCCAATTGTCTTTCATTTTTGTGAATTTTGACAGACTTTGTCTTCCAAGGAATTGGTCCATTTTATCTAGGTTATTATATTTGTGGGCATAGAGTTGTTTATAATATTTCTATATTATACTTTTAATGTGTATAGGATCCTTAGTGATTTATCCTTTTTCATTTCTGATATTAGTAACTCATGTCTTCTCTCTTTCTTTTTCTTAGCCTGGGTAGAGGCTTATTAATTTTATTGATTTTTTTCAAAGAACTAGGTTTTGATTTTATAGATTTTTTCTGTTGAATTGTTTCCTATTTTCAGTCACATTGATTTCTGCACTAATTCTTATTAGTTGGTTTTTTCTTTGGATTTTACTTACTCTTTCTAGTTTTTTAAGGTAGAAACTTATTGATTTTAACTCTTTCATCTTTTCTAAAATATGTATCCATGGCTGTAGATTTCCCTGTAAAGCACAACTTTTGCTGCATTCCACAAGTTTTGATGTCTTATTTTCATTTTAATTTAGTTCAAATTTAAAAAAATTCTCGAGATTTTTTTCTTTGACTCATTTGTTATTTAGAAGTGTGTTGTTTACACTCCATGCGTTTTGGGATGTTCCAGTTATCTTTCTGTTATTGACTTATGGTTTAATTCCATGTGGTCTGAGAGCAGAGATTGTATAGCTGTTCTTTTAAATTTATTAAATGTGTTTATGGCCCACAATGTGATCTATCTAGGTGGATGTTCCATGTGAGCATGAGAAGTATGTGTAATTCGCTGTTGGATAACGTAGTCTATATATGTTAATTATATCCACTTGATTGATGGTGTTGAATTCAGTTATGTCATTACTGATATTCTGCCTCTGGATCTGCCCATTTCTGATGGAAGGATGTTGTGAAATAATAGAAAAAATATATGTGAGTCTCTGTCTCTGGTTCCTGGCATAGTGCTACTAAAACCCTTGTAATTTCCTAAGTGACAAGAACACTAGGAACATCTTTAATTCTAATATTTGGTCTTTGACTCCAGCTCCTGACACAACTTCTAAATCCTTTGGAATTTACTGGGTGATAGGAGTGTATATACCTTTCCACTTATTTAAGTCTTTTAAAAAAGTCTTTAGCCATATATTGAAATATTTTTCATAAAAATCCTTCCTACTTTTGTTAGAATTGTTCCTAGAGACTTTACAGCTTTTCATGCTATTTAAAGTTTTATCTAATTGGTTATTACTGAATTATGAAAATACTATTGATTTTATGTCATCCTGACATCTAGAAAATTGATTGAGCTTTCTTATTTTTCTAAGTTTGCCTGTTTATATTATTTTATATGTTGACAGTTATGTGGTATCTGATAAAAATTCATCTTTCCTTTATTTAATTTTTTTGCCTTGTTACACTAATATTTCTAGAATAAGGAGAGCAACAAATTATATTGTGCTGTGCTTGATTTTAATACATCAAATATTTTATACATATTATGTTCATCACAGGGTTTTTTTGTCTGTCTTGTTTTAGCATGCTAAGTTTTAATACAAATATGAATAATTTAAAAAATTTCACTCAATTGTCTTCTAGTTTGTATGGTGTTGTAACAAGACGGCTGTTATGATTCTTCTACCTATTTCTCTTTAGGAATGAGTCCCCTTCCCCCTTTGCTTTGGCTGTCTTCAAGATTTTCTCTTTAGTTTGTGTGTTCAGAAATTGACTATGATGTATCTCTCTCTGGCTTAATATTTATCTTTGTTGGTGGTTTGGATCTATAGTTTGATGTATGCTATTAATTCTGGAAATCCTTCGTCATTATTCCTTCAGATATTTATTCTATCCCATTCTCTACCTTTTTCCCTTCTGGAATTCTAACTGCACATTTGTTAGATCATTTGGTTTTGTCTTACAGTTCTGTTTCTATTTTTTACTCTCTTTGTCTTTCAGTTTGGATATTTTCATGTCACTGATTTTTTCCTTAGCTCTGTTAATTTTGCTGATGAGGCTATCAATGACAATCTTCATCTCTATTACTGTTTTTGACTTCTAGCATCTTCATTTAATTTTTTTTACAGTTTCCATCTCTGCTGAAAATATTCATCTGACAATGATTGATGTCCGTTTCTATTGAAGACTTTGACATATTTATAATCATTATTTTAAATTCCCTGTCTGATAGCTCTAACATCTGTGTTGTATATGAGTCTAGTTCTGTTGATTATTTTGTCTCTTGGCATTGTGGGGTTTTTCCCCTTGCTTTTTTTGTACACCACCTCCCCAGTGATTTTTTTCTTTTATAGGGAAGATAGAGAAGAAGAATCTGGCAGTGCTCCATGGCCTTCCTGCAGCAGCTCTTCTTCCCCTCTCCTAAGCCTGTACCGCGAAGGTTGCTTTATCAGGACTTTTGCCACCAGGACTTTTGCCATCATTTTTGGTGAGTCCTCATTGGAATCTGTAGAGAACAAAGCTTCTGAGGGTTGTGAACTCTCCTTATATCTGAAACTTTTCGGGTTCTATGCTGTTACCAGCCAATACTCAGCCTCCACCAATTTGTTAATAATTCCAGGCAAATGCTTCTTACTGGTGTTCAACTGCCCCAAGTAAACAAATACTTTTACTCTGTCTCCCTAAAGACATTGTTTCTCCTCAGATTTTGGTTTAGTTGGCATTTTCTCAACTTCAACTCTTTGATGGATCCAGGAAGAGTTGTTAACTTGCAGATTGTTCAACTTTTTTTTTTTAACTGTAAGGGTGGCAGTGACATTCTTTCCAATTCTTTTCCAGCTCTCTGCACCCAAGTAGAAACCAGGAACCTGATCCTCATTTTTAACCTATAATATCTGGACTGATGGGATGACTATTTGTTCTGGTTCACACCAGTGTAATTATTAATAGCATCTCCTTTAAACTCAAGCGTTTCTTTGTTTAAAAGATAAATATATGATTACCCTGTCCTTGAAAATATTACATAATTAGGTATCACCAGGAGCATATGTTAAGTTTGGATGGATTTGTTTTCTCTAGATAAAAATGAAGTATTGAAGATTATTTTAGTGCTATTCAAAAAGACATGGGGAGAAAATGTGTAAATGAAAGAAACATAAACTAAATCCAGTGTGTAAACTTTGTTTGGATCCTGTTTTAATCCAAAAGGATTTTTTTTTTTTTTTTTGACAATCAGGGACATTTGAATGTGGGCTAGGTATTAGAAGATATTAAAAAATTACTGTTATTTTGTTCATTATTACAGTGATATTATTATAATGTTTTTTAAAAACCTTATTTGTTGGATAAATTATGTATTTGGAAGTAAAATGGTATGATAGTGGGACTTTATTTAAAAATACGAATGTTAAGGGAGAGAGAAATGTGATAGATAAAAAGAAAACAAAACGCTGATAATTACTGAAGCTAGGTGATAGGTAAATAGAGGTTTATTGTTTTTATTATCTTTATTGTATTTTTTTCAGTTTCCATAATAAAAACTTTTTTAAAAGGGGAGAAAAGGGTATATAATCAGGAACATTTTTCTCTTTAAAAAATATGGTAATTATCCTACACTTTAAACTGGTAAGGGTGAATTTTTTTCTAGTGGCAGATCAGAGGCAATGCAACCACGCCTCAAAGTATATTTGAGAGCTTCCTGTGCTTCAGTGATTTTTCAGCAAACCCGATAATCTGTGATATAGTAGGTGGAGGAGGAAAGTCAGGCAAATGTCATGGTTTCTGTGCAGTTCAGTGCTGCAGACCCACACTGAACCAGGAGGAAGGAATGAGCCTTGCAGATGCCTTTTATTCCTGACTCAATTTAGTGTCTGTTTTGTGCAAACTTATCTTAGAAGGGATACGCTCTGCTTTTCTTCCCTTTTATCCAAGTTCTCACTGTCCCTCCATTCTCCTTTGTTCATAATTTGGAGAGACACATGCCTTGGCAAGGTGGGTAATGAGGCTGAAAACTCCATGAGGCAAGGACTGTTCACTGTTTTGAACAGTGAATATACACCTAGTACCATTACTGGTGCATGAAAGACATTAAATAAATGTTGGATGAAGAAATGAATAAATTCACATTTGCTGCTTGCCACATAGAAGGAACCTCATAAATACTGTATTTGTTGAATTGAGTTGTGTATGACAGAAATGAAAAGAGAATTTTAGAGTTTTTGTCCATTTAGTGCCAGAGATGTCCGGATGAGCAGAATCAGACAATGGGATGTCTATGGACAGGCAAAGGAGGCCAAAATAAAATGCAGCTTCATTTAAAATTAAAAGAAGAATATACAGTTACATACATGCCATTTTTCTTTCAAATATATTCATGGACTTGATTAGAATAGGATAGTTATTGTCTCCTCCCCGGTAAAAGTCCTCATGCTGTAGTTCTGCAAAGAAATCAGGAGACTTTGTAATATCCTGTGCACAAAAAAAGTTGGAATGACAGGTATTCTTAAATAAACAAGCGTAATTAATCATAGTGCTACTTGTTTTGATGAGCATGCAAGAGTGACAAGTTAATAATAAACCTAGCTCATATAGGAAGGGTGGCTAAGGAGGTGCTGTCAGTTCATTTACATTTTTGGATGTCACTGAAGATTTAATAATCTCCCTGCTTCATACATCAAACTAATACTCCTGAGGCAGAAAAACAAACCATTTTAAACTGTTAATCTGAGAAGCAATAAGATCCTGTCTTAGGTCACAAATAAATTGAGTTTTTGGACCCCTAGAGTGTTTGATTTATTCAGATTCCAAAGCTACTCAGAACCCCTGGGAACCTTGGCTGCCAAACCAGGCACGCTGGGAACACCATGGGAATTGCCAATCTAATCAGATAGTCTAGACTGAGGACAGTGACTGATTTTACCTTAGACCTGCACAATAATTTAGTTAACCTTCTATGTCGACTACAAGTAGATTATGGAATACAGACATACATGAATTTGAAATTCAGTTCAAAATGATTGCCTTAGTTGGAATTGTAACCATCTTTCTGCTTATGTAGTATTTCTTCTTAAAAGATCAAAAGTTGTTTTGAAGTTTTTACTTTGTAAGTGTAGGCTTTTTACCGGGGTAGAGAAACTGGGACACGGAAAGGGGAACTCACTCTTGATGGCATGGTGAGCCGTTGGTGAGTCCTAAGCTATTTACAGATTTCCAGCTTTCCTTTTCTTAAGCAGCTAAGCTATAGGGTATATTGAATTTATTAATTTGGAACAATATCCTCTTATGGATACGAATATATAAAATATCATATTCCTAGTTTAAAGAATGGGTCATAGTGATCTCAGAGAAAGAAGGAAGTAGAGTTATGTGCATTAGCAGTATGTCTATGTGCATTCATTGCTCTCATTCATCATGAAGTAATTTTTATAAAGGAAATAGATTGTAAAATATGATTTCTGCTCATTTTTTACTAATGCTGCTTATAATTTCAACTAAATTATTTGTGATGTTTAATCACTTTTATAGGAAATGGAAAGAAGAGCCTAAGTTGGTGCCATAAAAATAGCCAATTATTTCCCTCCTTTTCCTCCCCGCTAGCCCTGGGGCTCTAAATCGCAGCTGTAAATTAGGGTTACATTATGTCATGTCTTCCAAGAGCACAGTGATTGGTGTAGAACAAATCTCAGACTATTAATAGCACTTCTATTCAACCTTGCAGTTAACAAAACACATACCACCCCAGGTATACCTGGCTTGCTTCTGTCCATTTCTCTCTGAGGAAGACTAGATTCTCTTGGTCAGGAGTTCAGGTTGGACCAGGTGGGAGAAGCCTTGGAAAATCTTTCTCCTTCAATAATTCACTTAGCAAACATCCATTAACTGCCTTAGGTGCTGGGGATGTAAAGGCCATATAAAGGACAGGGACAAAAGGCACTATATTGGTTTCCTATTGCCATTGCAAGAAATTACCACAAATTTAGTGGCTTAAAAACAACACAAATTTATTATCTTTCTGTTCTGAAGGTCAGAAGTCTAAAATCAAGGTATTGGCAAGGATGTGTTCCTTCTGGAGACTCGATGGGAAAATCTGTTTCCTTGCCTTTTCCAGCTTCTGGGCTACCTGCATTCCTTGGTTCATGGCCCCTTCCTCAAATTACTTCATACTCTTGCTTCTGTTGTCACATCTCCTACTACTCAATATGATCTCTTAATTCCTTCTTGTGATTATAAAAAGGATTCTTATGATTATATTGAGCCCACCTGGATAATCTGGGAAAACCTCCCCACCTCAAAACCTTTAATTTAATCACAACTGTAAAGTCTTATTTTTCATATAAGGTAACATTCACAGGTTCCCAGAAGTGAGAAGTGGACATTTTCGAAGGGGCCATTATTTAAAATAGGACAGAATTTGACATTGGACAGCTCTGTCATTCTCTACCTTAATATGATTATTAAGTAAGTTTTATAAACTTTCTTAATCTCAGTCTTCTTATCTGGGAAACTGAGTGAGTAATAGCCATCTCATAGGTTTGTGTGATGATTAAATGTCTGCAAATAATAAATATTATGTCTGATACATATTATAAGTTCAATGAATGGGAATTTCATGAATTATTGTTCTTACTATTCATTGGTGAAAGGGCACAGCCTCTCCTCTGAGGACATCTAAGTCTAGTGGAAAAGATAAAAAGGTAAACAATTGTAAGACAATGTGAGGCAGTGTAACAGAGCTATGTTTGTCTCAGGCCACAAGGATCCTTCACGCACAGCTTCAGTCTTTTGTGGGTAATCACCTAACACTTGGATTTGAGGTGAAGGAAACCAAAACATACAAGGTTGTCTGAAGCTATAGGGGACCTGAAATGTCAGGTCCTGGAAAGTTGTGTATTTTTATTTTGATGAATTCATGTTTTTTCTAAGAAAAAACTATTTCCTGGTCTTAAAATATTATGTTAACTCTCTTGGGCTTAGGATATGTGGCATTTAATAAATTAGGGCCTTGGAGGGCTAAGATTGCATTATATGGTGAAAGGAGAGAACAATGTATGTCTGTAAGAGAAAGGTCAAAGTCTTCCTGTTCCCTACTCCACCTCTGGCTTTTGATGTTCACACCTTCCCACCCTCAAAAGTTTACAGTGCTCATCTGATTGGAAACATTCCTCAACTACATAGGCCAGGTTTGTTAGTGATTAGAGTCCCTGTGTGTGAAAAAGCAAGCACTCTTGGTGGGTATCATTCATGAGTCTCTCCCACCTATGTGGCCTGTGTGAAGACCAGGGTCCACCCTTTTCCTTCTGTGCCTGAGCTGGCCTGAAAACTCCTGCTCCTCCTATTCTGTCTGTCTTGTTTCCTGTTGTGTCCTCACCTTATGTGACCCTTCAGCAGTGACACACCCTTCCTTTGGCTTCTGTTACACCTCTGTTTTCTGTCTTGCTATTTCCTGTCCACTCCTTCTCAGTCATCTCTGGTGGGTCTTCCTCATTTCTG